TCCTCTGTGTCTGTCGTGTTCTGTGTGTGTGTGTGTGTGTGTGTGTGTGTGTGTGTGTGTGTGTGTGTGTGTGTGTGTGTGTGTGTGTGTGTGTGTGTGTGTGTGTGTGTGTGTGTGTGTGTGTGTGTGTGTGTGTGTATGTGTGCGGTGTCGCACTAAACCAGTGCCAGATCTGATTGACATTAGAAACATCTGCAGTTTGTTCTACTTGCTGTCTGCATTCAGTCAAGCGATGCTGTAGTCGGCCGCGTACATGGTTTGCCTGCGAGTTCTCATATTGCTGCCAGAGGCTGATGCCTACTTAGTGTCCCTCCTCCGAAACAAGTTTCTTCCGTGCAGTATTGCGGTAAAAGCATGCGGTAAAATGGACGCGTGCGCACTAACCCATTCCAAGGAATGGTCTCATATATCCTCTCATTTGCATCCACGCGTAACTTGTCACGTACGCGCGTTTGGTGACAACGTCAACTCCGCCCATCACCATAACAAATAACACCATAACATATAAAAGTCATGCCCAAGCTTAAATATTTCTCAATTTTATTGCACCCGACGTCTCGTAAACGTTTACCTATATACACATATATAATGTGCACAACAGCAACGACGAAAATTCGCTAACGCAAAAATAAGCGCACTGGCTCCACAGGGTGTTGGTTCCACATGCACGTCTACAAGAATATACACGCACTTTCCAGGCTAACACACAACTATCGCCTTCTTCAGTGCGTATTTGCGTTATACGCTTGAATATTCAATGTGACTACATTACCATGCTTGAACCGTGCAAGAATAAATGTTTTATTAGAATAGATTCTTAATAATCCGACGTTCTTGATCAACTTGTTTTCGTGGCGTTAATGCACACCAGGCAGATTCGCTTCGTCAAAACTATATTAACCAGCTAAAAGCTATTTCTCAATTTCTATACATTAGAATGAATAAACAGGTGAATAATTAATACGAACTTAAAGTTCTATCAGAAAATAAAAGCATACGGATAAGATATTTTTGAATATTACCAACGAAATACGCACGCTGGTGAATAGAGAGAAGCTAATAGCTGGCGCAACATTCAACGAAGTCGTAGCATGAGAATTTAACTCTCATGATAACACGCGCGCCCATGCGATGCTTTACCGACATCTACTCATATTAATGCGCCACGACGCCGCTAGACGGTTCCATATCGTCATTTGTACACCTTTCCTCCGGCGCGCAAGGTGCCAACTGTTGGTGACACAACGGGGCCGCGGTGATCGGTGATTTTTCACACTGTCGCCGCCGCGCTCGCAGACGGTGTATGGACTCGGCGGGACGGTTCGGCTCGCTGCGACGTCTCCCGCAGCCACACCTGACAGCATAACACCTATGTACGTGACGCAGCGCGTATATACGCGGCGGCGGCGGCGCGCAGGCGTTAAGCGCGCTCGCGCGCCGCGACCACGGACTGCTATATATTGTGTTGACAAACAGCGCGCCATTCCTCCTCCCAGAATTACCCGTTTCCTTTATGCTGCCTCTCGCATCTTCGGCATGACCGACTCGTTCTATGCGAGAGATTTGCCGATCTTCACACTCTGGTCATATTTTGTACAAAGCAATCTGTTTCGGCCGCGTCGCGGCACAATGCCAATGGCTGTAAGTCTGTTCCCTGATGAACAGCAGCCGCGCAAATGGGTGCTTGTGTCACGCTGCGTCTTTCAGGCCGCGAATAAGCAACTACACTGTCTTTGTACTGCCATTAGTGTTGGCGCTGTTTATGAGGCGAACGGGGCGGGTCCAGCTGCGACTTCGAACTAAGATATATTGTAGGCCGAAACACGATTTTCACGTTTAATGAAACTCAAAGTAAATGAAGATTTTGCGTTCGGGCCGGTGGCTTGTGCGAGTCGCTTCCACATATGCCTCATACACCATGTATATCACTACCTGATCTCATGAAAAAAATTCAAAAGTCTCTAAAGCTATCGCAGGAGACATGATTGCCATAAGTAATACCATTTCTAGTTTAGCGAATAGCGAATTAAAATTAGCCATTCTATTTTATCGGGTGTGCGGTATCTCTCGGTGACTGGTTAAAATCCGCAGCAACATATGTGATCTAAGACGATTAATGCTGGCGGCTATCAATATGCAGCCATCAATTTCTTATATTCCTTGTTCTTTATGACTAAAACAACAATTTCGTTACTGTTCGCTTTCCAGTAGCATTTATATTTTACATAATGTAGTTATAAATGGCCAAAGTTGTCGTTGTTTACATTTTTCTCTGCACCCATCAGCACCACCATCTCTCTAATCCAATCTAGATGTTTCTCGTAGAGAAATTACACAGATTGTAAAAAAGTAATTGAAAAACTAATATTTCTATCCACGGCAGAAACCTCTAGCTCATGCCTCGGCCTGTGTGCGTGTGCCCGTGTATACACTGGTGATTATGTGTGCGTGCGCGTGCGTCGGGATCTTATGGGGGAGGTGCGAGTGTATTTGCGTACGAGGGTGTGTGTGTGCGTGCGTGCGTGCGTGAGTGCGTGCGTGCGTGCGCGTGTGTGTGCGCCCGCGCGTGTGCGTGCATGTCCATGTGCGTGCATGTGTGTGTGTATGTGTGCGCGCGTGTGCGCGCGTGTGCGTGTGCATGATTGTGTATGTGCGTGTGCGTGCGTGTGTGTGTGTGTGTGGGGGGGGGTGTAAATGTGTGCGTGTCCACGTGCGTGTGTGTGCACATGTCTGCGATAGGGAAAGGGGAGGTAAGGCGTTACCGGATGCATCCGTATGTGTGTTTGCGCAAGATCTTTGCCTCATAAATCAATATTCATTACATTAGTCGCAGACGCTACAATGCACGCCAATTTATAGCATATTTAAGACATTATGCTTAAATGACAAGTTTAAACGCAGGTTTCACAAAATTATAGCTTGCGAATTTGTTAAAAATTTGCGCCATCTATATAGAATGTGCATGGTAAAATAATAACGAGAAACGTCACCATTATCGTTCTAGCACATGTTTATTAAATTATAATACGAACATACCATTTAGGATTGCTACTTAATTCGAGGTTATTACTATATTTAGTTAATAAGAAATATGGAATCACATAGTACACCACCGTTTACGGTGCCAATCGTATAGATCGCGTCTGAAGTAGTAGTTAAACATTTCTTTATGCAGTTCTAACCAACAGTACCGTATGCGAACGGCGTCATATAGCTATAGTGAGCTAGCGTGCGTACCCAGCGATACCGCGCCAACAAAGGCTTAGAAATTCAAAATAGAGAAGGCGACGGGTGTAAATAATGGCCTCTCTCATTTATTACCCTTCTGTCAAACGTCAAATTCGCTGAATGATTCTTCTGCACAGACCAGATGAAAAATGAGGATGTTTCTGTGGTGGGTTGCAACAGCGTGGTGGCCCCGCTATTGTGGTCCAGTGAATAATTACTTATACACTCCTAATGACTGGAAATAGTTAATAACGACACAAGGAGAGTTGCTACAGACGTGCGGACTTCATATTGTCAGCACGGAATGAAAAATGTACCTATAATCGTGTTTTAATGCGTTTTGCGTAACTGTGGCCCTCCCGAGTGGAATGGAATTTTGATAAATGGTATTCGGTGGTGGGCACGTATTTCCGTTCTGGTGCGTGATCCCAGTGGTTGGATACTTTCGTCCGCAGATAGGGAAGTTAACTTCCAGCATATTCACATAAACCCACTACTGTATAGTCACCCGCAATCAACAAGTTTTTTACAGCAAATTTATACCCTATAGATTGAAGTAATTCGTAAAATTCAGCCGTGCTTAGGCTCACACGCATTAGTTTTCACGCTTACACATGCGCGCATGCTAGGCGGTGCATAGCTTTTCAGTTTCCCAGCGCTCCCTTCGCCGCTAGTGACGTCACCTCAAATCAGGGCGGTGCTACGCTGGTGATTGACGAGTGACGTCACCTGTCAACGGGCGCGCTCGACTGACAGCTAAATGACAGGCCTCGCTTGACACCTCGCCTATAGAGTCTCATTAGTGGCTTGCTGTTAACAAATCAGAATAGCTGGAGGGCATAAGACGTCGAACAATCCTCGGACCCGCATCAGTCGCTTTGTGGATGTGAGCAGGAGAGGAGCGAATAGCAGCGTGTGCACGTCTCGTTAACCAATACATCAGCGACGGCCGTCGTCAGCCACGGCAGTATCGGCTCAGCCGCAGCAGCTCGCTGATCTGCCAGTGCAGCGCGCCAGTATATACATACATACACATATATATATATATATATATTATATATACACCTCGACAAACATTACTCGAGCTGAACACGGCAGAGAGCAGAGTGTGCGATGAGACAGCTTGGTTCGTCGTCTGAGTGAACAGTTGTCGCGCGGGATTGTGATATTGTCGAAGGCGCAGGAGCAAGATACAGAGAAAGATGCGCTGCGAGGAGACAACGATGTTCTTCGCGCTGTGTCTACTGGTCGGCTTCACCGTGCACACGACGCTGGCCGCGAGAGAGCTAAAGTGCCAAGAGATCACCATTCCCATGTGTAAGGGGATCGGATACAACCTCACGTACATGCCGAATCAGTTTAACCACGACACGCAGGAGGAAGCTGGACTAGAGGTAATTAAACGTCTATGTCTGTGTGTGCTGATAATTACGTGTCTGGGTCGAGGAAAAATATATCGGGTTATACGCGGCACCGTTGAACCGTAGTGAATACCTACCTACCTGCTAGAACAATAAGTCTATGTTAGCATAATTCTTAATCGTGCGTTGCCGCCCCCGCGCATATATTTTCTAGTGAAACGGTGTCTATACAGCTGTTGTCGCGCTCGCGCTGGGTTCATCAACGTATATTCTCACACGAGCGTGACATTTCCTTCTCGTCGTGAAGATACGCGACAGCTGTACGTTGTGTGACAGACTTTCTAGAAAGAGAGTGCGCTATCCGCCAAACGATGTCAACAGCCTGAAGACACACCAGCATGGCGGGTGTCTACCCCGTGCAGACGCGCGTACATTTATCGCCATCTAAACTACGTTTGTTTTCATACAGCGTACAGAAGATACCCCGAGCGAAGTGCCCCCTGATAAATTGATAAATTTTAGTATTCCGCGCTGCTGTGTGCAGTTCGCTACAAGCTATACCGCCGACGGTAGCAATTTATCACAGGCCTGTCACGCTACGCAGCGGTGCATTGACAAATGCGCGTGTAGTTTCGAAGACATTTCGAAGAAAAATCGTGAGAGCATTCTACGCGAGCATTTTAAGCTTTCGCGACAGTAACAACCGTCGATGCCTCTTCGGTGCGTACGCCGAATATAAACTGGATTTCGGTGCTAAGTGATACAGGAATTGTCATGGCGCTTCGCCGTGTAAAGAGAGCGAGTCTCCTGCTCTGTGGCCGTATACACATCCACGCGCACGTGCAATCGGCGTCCACAATACGCAGCGGGGCGAAAACAATGCTTGTCATCTAGGGCTTGCTTGTATAAGGATGGTAAGAAAACACCGTGGGCCGGTTGCGGGACAAGGCCCGTTCACTGGCCGTCTGATCAGCCATTGTCAGCAGACCAGCCCGATTCAAAGCTCTGCAGTTCGTTGTTTGTTTTCCCAGCAATACGTGGCGGCAGCTATCTTCTTCTCGCTTTCGACGTATCTCCGTGTCTCTTGCTCACTCTTCGTGTCTATCTCTCCATATATATATATATATATATATATATATCGCATGTATGATGTATGTGTGTATTCCTTCTTCTGCTCTCTTCTCATTACGGGGCTAGTTCGCCCCCCAACCCGTTCGCTCGTCTTAACGTGTCATAACCAAAAGCTGGTTGTAAAGTCGAATTTTGCAACAGAACACTAATGTCGGTCACATCTTACGTACGTGAAAACGCGGGCCGTGCGTGCCGTCGTTCATAGATGGGGCGCTGTAGAAATGTCCATAGGTTGTAAACGAGGAATTCGCCGTATCGCTGCGGTCTGTTTGTGTGTATGTGCGTGTGTGTGTGTGTGTGTGTGTGTGTGTGTGTGTGTGTGTGTGTGTGTGTGTGTGTGTGTGTGTGTGTGTGTTTGACCAAGTTTATCCAGTTCTTCGTCGTTTATAGCGGCAGGAGGTTCGCAGTAAATTTTATTACCACAAAACTATCTAATATAACGAAGAATCTAGTATGCAGAAATGCGCTCATCCTACGCGGCGTCGTAAAACGCTCTATGACGGATGATGGTTGCTGTACTGATATCGTCAAGCGAATACCAATTAGTAGTGAATAATTATGAAACTATTATTGCATATCCTCCCCACTAAAGCGGCCGTCAGATCTATGCACCGTCTCATATCACCGTCATAAATCTGTCTAGCGGATAGCAGCCGACTTTTAAAAATATCCGGCGTGATATTTACGAGCTGCTAATGTGGTTATTGCGACTACTGTATCGTGTTGCGCGTTATACGCATATCTCGACTGTCAGTGAGTAATGAAAGGCCTCACTTGCGCCGCGCCTCACGACGAACACCAAGCTATGGGCGGGAAAAACATTAGTCGAAAGTATTCGATACGATATCCGCTACAGATATTAATAACTCCTCCAAAATGCAGGCGCGTGACGATAAATAAGTCATAAAACGAGCGCGGGGTTAGAGTTGCGGTGTCTCTATCTACGTACTATGCGCTTCGCGTACATATAAACTCGCAGGACGACTAAATACAGTGACTGCCGTACAGCGACGTTTACAGCGTGTAATTACCAACGTACATGGAATGTTATAGAATGGCAATTTGTACATTACGTAATCTTACCTGGACAGCCCTCGCGCGCGGTCACCAAGGCAACCCAGGCTCAATTATAGCTCTTAATTGTAGGATGACGTAATGGGCTTAACAGCCAATCAGCGCGCGCGTCTCATTAGATGGGATCCGTTAATGAGAGAGAGAGAGAGGGAAAGCGAGGGGGAATAATGTCAACACGGGACAGAGTCTAGTGGGACAGCGCGACACCGGATACCGCTGTATTTACTTACCGACAGACTCGACATTTACTCTTTGGCACACTTAGCATGTGCGTGACAGCCCTGCCCATCGACAAGGGTGTCAATAGAGGGAGGAGGTCGCACCGTTCGTCTATGCATGGCCGGGAAACGCTCACTTTGTACTTACCGCTATGAAACTGTATAAGTAATAGCTGCAGTGGTAAATCGGTCGGCTAATGCCCACACCAATCTTGCTAGGATATCGTATATCTATATATCTGTCTATATTGGTCGTGTTATTGTCAGTATGATTTCAATGTGTGTGATATTGCAGCCGCGCGCAATCGCAGCAAATCACCGATCCTGATCGTTGCACGACGAAACAACAGGCTACTGCGGCTGTAGCTGCTGCCGATGTAGCTGCTGCGGCTGTCGCTGCTGTGGCTGCTGTTGTTGCTGTTTCTGTTGCGGCTGCTGCTAATGCTTCTGTTATAAATTGATTCTAGGATATAATTTGCATTCGTGCCCCCCCCCCTAACCTTCTCTCCGCCTCAAAGTCACATTTAACTACTAATTTCCTGTCTTCTAGGCGCAACGTGTCAAAAAAATTTGAACACGCTACTTCGCGTGCCAGTACTGCTCTCATCAATCGCAGTAATTCTCGTGTATACGGCCAGCAATAGTGCGTGTTATCACTGATACGTAGGCGTGTGTTAACGAGGCTACTCTCTGCACACATCGAGCACGTTTGCACTCGACTATCTTATCTCGATCGGATTTTGATGGTGCCTCCACGATATTTAAAGTCTTAACTGGTATTATGCGGATGGGTAGATAATGAACTCGCCAGACAACGATCCGTGGATTATTGACATGTAGGCATACTGCGTACACCTGTATGCACCTGCAACGTCGCGTGTTCAAGTATAGTATCAAGATAAACTTATAGATTCTCTCTCTCTCTCTCTCTCTCTCTCTCTCTCTCTCTCTCTCTTCATCACAAGACGATATAGTGAGTCTTTCTCGTTCTTGTCTTCTCTTCCGTCTCTCTAGCTCTCTCTCACACTCTCCCTCTTCCTCCCCCTTTTCTTGCCATCTCTATAAATAAAACTAGAAATGCTATCGATCTGAGCGTAGACGTCATTTCGTGTAACCTGTCCTGATCCCATGGGCATGCGTATGTGATTCAATACTATATAGCATCAGAGCTCCGCGCCGAAATTGGAAATATATTTGCAAATTTACAACTGCCTCGATCGCGTGCCACGGTGCAGCTTTACAGCAGTTGCCTATGACGTGCACAGTCGTATATACCCTGACGGAGTAGCGACAGTGCGGTCGTATTCGCGACGGGCGGCAGGATACGCGTCCACGCGCAGGGTAGACAGATGTAAGCATGCTGTGGCGCGCTCGCGCACACGAATCACGGCGGCAATATATTATATGACACGCGACTATTAATCTTAATTAATCAGCGAGAATGGCTCGCTCACATATCGGCTACATGAGCTACGCTTGCGACCAGCATATGCTCTACTACATCGACCTATAAATCCCTTACAGAGTCCCCGCCGCTCTAATCGACTGCATGACAGGCATTGCAAAAAATACACGAGCATATTATAGTGAGCATAATATTAACCAGATTTCGATATTAAAAACCGAGACAACTTTCTAGTGTTCTTTCTATGAGTGTACTTTGGTCGGAGGCCTGATTAATGCATCCTTCCGATGCGTTCGCTATACTTGCCATGTACAGCGCGCTTTTGGCGCGTAATGAAGTAAAAACGACCTAATTTAACAAATATCACAGGCCAGGTTGCCGACTTTGAATAGGTGCGAACAGTCAATTTGCATGTGCGCGAGCACAAAGCAGCACAAGGCGGGCGGCGCGTTTCATGTGTGAGTGAACAGAAGCCGCCGGCAGCTGATGTACGTGCGGACGCGCGCAGTAAAGGGTTCTTAACGAATAGCCGGCCTTTGAATAACGATATCTTAGAGGTACGCTCGTCCTACATGCGTATATAGGCACGGGCGTCTGCATGCAATAAGGATAAGCTGGGCCTTTTTGATACCATCGCGTGCCTGTGAAAAACGCGCGTTCGTAGTAAAAAAAGCCACACTCCGCAGTAGTATATACGCATGTAATCAAGATGTAATTGTACGGTGCAGACGTGTCTCACGTAACCGGTTCCGATTACAGAAAGAGTTGAGTGGTGTGTGTGTTGTGTGTGTGTGTGTGTGTGTGTGTGTGTGTGTGTGTGTGTGTGTGCGTGTGCGTGTGTGTGTGTGTGTGGTGTGTGTGTGTGTGTGTGTGTGTACGTGCGTGTGCGTGTGCGTGTGCGTGTGCGTGTGCGTGTGTGTGTGTGTGTGTGTGTGTGCGTGTGCGTGCGTGCGTGCGTGCGTATGTGCGTGGGTACGTGCGTATGTGTGAGAAAGAAATAGAGAAGCCATGGGAGAGAGAAATTATCACGACCGCGGTGCACATAACATTTCTATATTCATGCAAAATACCTGTATACCTATACCTAACTGTATTATGCAAACATGCTTAACCAATATGCTGTGTCAGCGTATACAGTACACAGTATCGTAACAAGCACGGTACACCTCGTATTATAATTTCACACCGATTCGGCGTAATAATTC